CTCCTGCCTTGCCCTCCACTGCAGGGGGGAGGAGAAGGTGCCCTGGGTGCCATGGCTGTACAGCCACCGCTTCTGCGGATGGGAAAACACATCACACACACGGCACAGCAAACAGCAACCCCGAGTTCTGGTCAGATTCGCTTTTATTTCTTGTTTATTTCATACCACAGCCTTAAATAATCTTTAATATTGGCTAAAAAGTTTCCAGCATAGTGCACAGAGGTGCTTACCGTAGTTCGTAAGTGCACGGGAGGGGATTTGCTTTTCGGAAGATGGAGGTTTTGGAATTAAAAACCTGCATTTATATTCCAAGTATTCTGTGAGGTGGACCAGTTCCTGATGACAACCAAAGACAAAACTTCTGGCTTCTCCCCACCATCCCAGAGCAGGACATTTCGTCCTCAGCCTCCCCTGCTCTCTGTCACACATGTCCGATCTGCCTTGTCCAAGGGAAACCCAACTACATCAGGGAGCTTTAGGGGAAACTTGCAGTTTGAGCTGACACGACTTCATTGCTTTTGAGAATTAGGATCTCTACCTAAAACTACCATCAGAAGCCAAGTGGAAACTGTTTGGACTTAAGCACAGCTTAAAAATGGCCTTCACTAACCCTATTTTCAAAACCCCACATTCTGCAGTTCTTCTGAGGATTATAAACATACCAGAAAAAGGTAACTAGGAGATCACTAGCCTGATGTTCCTCTTACATTAAAGATGCACATAGAAAGGTTTCAATTCATAAGCTTTGTTTTTAAAACACAACACAGAAAAATGAGCTTAAGTGTAACAAAGGATTTCATGCTATCCTTAAGGAGGTTAACATAAAAAATAGCTTTTTTTAAAATCTCAGAACAGCTAATTCTGCAAAAAACAATGATTTGTTCTACACTCATAGCACATAAACAGGTTTTGTTGTAGGACTGAGGTTTATTAATTTAGAGGATTCCTCAGTAGCAACCATAGTCCCCAGCAAATAAAGCCAGGACACAACATGGGTGGTGCAGCACAAACCACAAAGGCTTTAGATCAGGGACTATACCTATGGTGTATAAAAATAACCAAAGAAGGCAATCTGCCCCCCTCAAAAAAAAAAAACCCAAATCCCCACTTGAGCATGGTCAAAGTAATTTTATTTAAGCATGACTTTGAACTTTAACTCTTTTACTTACTAAAAAGAGGACTTCAGAGAAAAGATTATTCAGAAACATCGTGCATTTTCTACCCGAATCAGCCACCCTTCAGTTAAATTCTGGAAGTGCCTTTCCCTTTCCATCAAGGGGCAAGGAGGAGGAAAGAGGCCAATGCAATTTTCCTTAGAAGTTGAAAAAAAATTAAAAAATCACATGGCAAAGGAGAAGGAAAACAGAATCCTCTTCATGATTTTATCAAAAAAGGAGCACAAACCCTGGAGAAGGTATACTGAAATCCCAGTGTGAGCACCTCACAACCCCAGGGCTTCATCAGGACCCTCCACTTGTGTCGGGCACACGTAGCAGCCCCAATTGTTCTAACTAACAGCATACAGATTATTACAAGTGTCTTATTTCAGTTCATAAGCAGTTTGGTTTAAGCCCCTAACATAGCAGTAGTGCAAGGAGTTCCTGACACCCAGATTTGAAGAAAAAAAAAAAGCATCTCACCATATTATTTGTGTGCAAGTCTCAGACTATGTTTTTATGTGGTCATTGAGTTATGTCTGACAAAAATGCCTCCCACAGAAACAGGAAACTTATGAAAATAATACAGAAACAGAATGAGAGGGAATTGATTTAAAGGCATGCTATTTTTCCTAGAAGGTACAAAAGTTAATGGTTTGGATTTCTTTGGAAATTAGACAAAAGTCACCCCACCACTCAAGTAAAAGCTTCTTCAAACAGAGGCTCACTGTGTTTCAAGCCCTTGTGGAAAAACTTCAAGTTCCTAAATTTGCCGTGACCATCAAAGTTTTCCAGTTTTGGCAACTATCTTAAAGTCACATATCTTAACAGTATGTCCAGCACAAACTATATTTAGATTGTTTGCTCTGTGCCAGAAAGGAACAATTACATTATTTTCAATTACCACTACCATTGCCTGAATTTGAATCTGGAATAGTCAATGTAAGGCTAGACATTTCTATCCATTCCTCTTGGACTGCTTTTACTGAAAACTGCTTACTAAGGAAATAAAACTTGAGTTCATGCACATTTTTCTTTGATTGTTTTATGTTAATATTCCACAACATATGCATTTCATTTATAATACTTAAACTACAAACAGATTTTAAATTTGTTTGTTCTCAACACAGTTCTCATCTTGTCATTTTACTGTGCTGATTTTTTAAATATTTTCTCTCAAAATACAAACATAAAACCAAGCCAAGTAGTACTGGTTAAATTTATTCTTGCTCCTCTAAGACACAATCTTCAAAAAAAACCCATACTGTGCAAAAAAATACCTTCAACAGACATCACAAATCCTGAACAGTTCAACTGTTGGCTATAATGCGGGATACAGCCGCCTCCCAAATGTCAAGGCGTGATATGTAAAAAGTACTTCACAGCAAATGCTTATTTCAATCTTGCCACTTATTCCTTCTCATAGAAAGCAAAAATAAAACCAGGGAGCAATGGTAACTCCTCATCTACACAGCTGGAGATGGAATATTTTTCAGGCTGCAAGAGAGGCCAAAGCAGCAGCAAATGCCACTGGTTCCACTGCTCCTGAGCAGGGCGGGGAGCCTGCAGCCCTCCATGCTCTGTACTTACTACCACAGACTGCTTTAAATTCAGCACCTGTCCTGGTATCAAATCTCAACCAGGAGCCAGATCCCGTTGTGCTAGGTGTCAGACAGGGAGACAAATAAGGCTGCAATCCATACTTTCAAAGGACTGTGGATTTTAATTGAAACACAGACAGATGATGCCTTAGGGTCCAGGGTAAGCAAACAAATTCCATTTCAGACACCTGTTTTGATACCAGTCTTAGCTGTGTGATTACATGCAACGATGAAGATGACTTGCATCCATTTACTTACGCTACACACTGTCTAGATCGGTACAATTTCTGCCACCCTCAAAGGATCTTCAAGATCTGGCTTTGCTGACCTCTAGAGATCCTCTGCAATCTAAACTATCCTGCAATTCAATGTAGCACCCAGAAAATGAGGGCAGAACTTGCTGCGTGAAAGTCCTTTTACGTGCGCCAACTGTGAATAGGAACACCTTTTATCAGGCCAATGTCATGCTATCCTCAGTGTGCAGCACATATAACCAATGCCAGGATTATAATCCAGGCACTGTGCAGTTTTATGCCATAATCCAATCAGCTGCTACACTCCAGAGCTCTCTTTGCTGCCTGCCCCTGCCAAATGCCAGGATAAACTTTCAACTGCTCCTCAGGACTTCTGCTCTTTTCCAGGCCAGGCTCAACGGCCTCTGAGCCCTCCCAATCCCACTCACTCACTCATGGGACTAGCAGGCATCACATCACATCACATCTGGCGTGTCCTCCTACTCTTGCAAAGTTAACAGCAATAACAGGACTTCCAGGCAGTATAGCTGCTTCAACTCATTTTTTCATTTTCTCTTGCATCTGACAAAATACATACGTCAGCATTTCACAAAGTCGGTCATCTCCAAGTTATTCGGTCAACTCCTGAGCCTGCTTTCTGCTCTAAGAGACTGAAATCTAACAAACTGAGCAAATTTGGTCTTTGTAGCTCCATTCCTAACACCATGGGCAAAATTTTGCCAAAAACTAGATGCCTGTGCTAAGGCAGCATGTCTTAGAATAAAAGAGGCGGAAAACACTCGTATTTCAAAAATCAGCGTAACAGAATGCTTTTGTGCTTGGTTCTGGGTGTTCTTCCCTTTAAAAATGGTGACGAGAAGGTCTCACTCACAGAAACAAACCCAAAGCTTTTGATATATGGAAGTTCACAAACAATCTTCATGAATCAGTGACATTTTTTAAAAAAGTTTCTGTATCATACAGTTTAAAAATCTCTATCACAAATATTTGAAACAGGCATTTTAAGCAATTATAAAGTTACTTAATAACTCAGTATTAAAAAAAATACTTTTTATTAGGTTTACTGGGTCCCTGAATTCAAATTCATCTTGATGTAGAATTAGAAAAATGACGGTATATCAGGAGACTTGATTTTCAGAAATACCAATCAAAATAAAGTAAAAACGGAGTGCTGCATATAAGCGTAGGATCCTCTTACACTGGTTTCCACAGCAAGAAGTCATTATGCTGAATTTATCATAAATGAATCTAAAACAATTTTCAATAAACCTCATACAGCAACAGATCCAAGTGCTGGCAGTCATCTATACGCTTGTCACAAACTTGTTTTGGGAAGTCTGCCGTAAGTGCCCGTGCAATTCTAGAAATAGTAAGAGCAAACAGCAGAAATGAATCTTCTGCCACTGATCAATTCCCTGAAAAGCATCTTGAGCTTTTAATTTTTTTTTCTTGATCTGGCACATAACCACGAATATTCTCTAAATTACTCTTTCACACAATTCTAGTTTTCCACCTGGATACATGAGGATTTCTAAACAATGACAGTGGTGCTATGCACTGACCTCAGGACTGCAAGAACACATTCTTATCACTGTCAACACCAACCTCCAAGTATGCTATGTTTTTTTTTACGCTGATGTGACTTTCGTATTGCATCAACCCAGACGTATAAAAATACTGAATGTAAAACAGTATTAACACGACAGCAAAACTGCTCTGTTCAATATATTTCAGAAGTCCAAAATCATTATATTTTTGGAAAACATTACTCAATAAGGGAAACCTTAGTTTAACGTTCCTCGACATTTCAAGTTGGGGTTTTCCCTAGTGTCTCCTGATACGCAATGAATCTCCTCAAATTCATCTTCACATTGTTGAGAACACACAGTTGATCTGTACTAAATTGTCTTTTGCCTTCTTTTCGCATCTGTAAAACCAAAAAATACGTACTTTACTAATGGAGAAGTTTCTCCTATTAGATCACCTAAAGTTTATAGTAATTCTATACAGGTTTTTGATCAAAACGTGCTTCCCATGCCTTTTGAGAACTCCAGCAAATTCACGTGTGCATATGCATAGCTAATAATTATTTCTGCAAGTCAGTTTACTGTAATAAAGTCTGCCTAAAACTAGACTACTGTTGGCATGCTATTTCACTCAAACCTGAAACATACACTTATTTTCTGTAGGTTTTTATATGAAAGACCTTGCACATCTAACTAACCAAACAATTGCAGCACTCTCAGGTATGTATTTCGTGTGTATAGTGCTCAGCTTTAAGACTAATACAGTGGTTCCTCAGGCTTGATCCGACTGAAGAAACAGCATATTGAAGGCCATTGTCTATTTAAGACAAGGACGTACCTAAAATTACAGCTTAGAATTTTGGCCTTGTGATTCTTTACAATACAGAATACATAATCTATTGTAATTATCCACTGAAAGAACAAAAATGTCAATCTGCAACTGAGCAAGTTTAAAAAAAAAAGATGTCGATATAACTTCAGAAGGAACTTCTCTCCCACCAGTTTAGCTGTTCTCCTCCAGAGACATCTGCAGTATTTATTTATTTATTTAGTAAAAAACCTAGGGTTTCAGAAGAATACAGTGATTTGGACATCAATAGTGCTGATGGTAAAATGCAGATAATGCAACGTAGATGCTGCACTGTTACCTTGCTGGTTCCATGAACTTTTGCTTTCCTCTAAAGTGGAACATCAGGGATTCAATTAATGTTTTCTTTCTTTTTCTCTTCCTTTTTTAGTCATCTTATAAAACCACACATTCCTGTTTAATTCTCTTCTCTAGCCACTCAAATCTCAAAGCTTTAACCCACATTGCGTGTTGCGACCCTGAGCTGTCTGCGTTTGATGCCTACCCTCATTTTGAACACTGGCTGAAATTCTTTCAGAGCTGGAAGCAACTTGATCTGTACCGCTGCCTTTTCTGCTTCTTCACCATCTGCAAATACATCAAAAAGTGCATCCAAGGCTTCCCCTGCTACCACAAGAGAAGATTCCTTCATAGCAACGTCAAGAAGAAATTTTCCAATCATCTGAAACGAGAGAGAAAAGTTGACTTTTCCAGCAATGCTTAAGAAACTGAAAAGCAGCTTTAAAACTGTTTCAGGCTTGCAATGCAAAGTTTGCTTTTTCACCTTTAGTGTTTCAGCTGTATCTTGTCCTTTTGCCAGGACGCTGCCAGAAATTCCAAGGATGCTCACTACATTCACTCTAACACTGGCATTGCTGCTGTGAATACCAGCTTCACATAAAGCCAATAGCTGCTCAGGAGTCATACACTGTTTAGCAAGGCAGGGGGGGAAATAAAAAGAGAAAGAAGGAAGATGTATTTACATTTTTAAGGAAATTTTCAAAGATGACATTTAGATCACTTACTTTTACAGAACACAGGCAAATTTGTAACAGAGAAACAGAGTGCTGTGCTATGAAAACTGAATGTTTTCTGGATTATGACAATGTAATTAGCAAGAAATCATTTTAAAATCTCCCTTTCAACTTCTTAAGGTGTTTCTTCTAGGACATAACCGAGGCTGTCATGAAGCTGAAGGAAAAAGTTCTGAGCCCAAAGGGATTTTCACAAATTTACCTGCCCCAGCAGCTATTTCCAATGCATTACAACCCACAGGAGAGAAGTTAATTTTTCAGTTTAAAGCTGGAAAGGACCAGCATACCATCTAGTATTACACCTTGCATAACAAATTATTATGCTTCGTTCATATATTTTGCTCACTAATTTATGTCCAACCAAGATTCTAGGGACAGCCAGCTTCAACAATCCGGAAAAAAAAAAATCCACATTTCTAGGTGCTAATTTACTAAATGCTTGTCATTATATCCATCTCCTAAAGACATTACCTGTGGCTTATCGCTGTTCTGGTTTTGAAATATCCTTCATCTGTTTATACATTAAGGAGGAGATGTATAAAAATGTATTCATGTAAGGGCCATGAAAAATACAAAGAGTGAATGCTTTAATTCTGTTCTTTCAGTGTTCACCATTACTGAAATTGAACACTTAATTTAAATAGTTTTGTTTAAAAATCTTTCCAGCACAATCTCCCATGAATCTGAATCCACCAGAGCATTTGAGTTTGAAAGCTTTTACCTGGGAGATGTTCTTTGATGCCATTGTTTGTAAGAGAGCCCTCAAAGCGCTCGTTATGGCTTCCAGGAATTCTGTGTCTGTAGGGAGTTCTGTCAAAGAATTGAACCCAGAGCCAAAAGTTAAACAGTCAGATGAAGCATACAAGAAGCAAAGAAATACAAATTCCTTAATCCCTTAATTGTTCCTCCAGGTAGTACTACAAACAGGAAGAGCTAGATTCTCAGAGGCTGGTCTTTGTAGGTTGTAACCATAGTGATTTGTCTGAATTCAGCATTAATTGCATCTGGAGGTAAGACCACACCATCGGTCCTCATTTTCAGGCATGTCCCTGGTTGAGACACTTGTGTGACCTAACGTATGGTACGAACCACTGCTGGCAGAACAGAACCCTGGAAAGTGGTGTCACATGGAGGCCGTAATACAGGAACTGAGAAAACTACAAGAAGCTGACTGCATACTTTAACTCCTTTCTTCTGAACAGCCTTTTTAGACACCCAGAACACTGGACCTTTCCCAGTTCATAGAATAAGCATATTTTTCTAGTGGTTTAATAACCTTTCAGGAATGTATGACTCAAACACTGCATTAATCTTTTTTAACTTCAAATTCATCAATACCAGCCAGCATCTTCAATGCATGTTCTGCATTTCTTGAAGCTTTTTATTTTTCTCTAACGTGTTCTTATTTTATGGACCACTCCAGATGCAGAACCTCTTGATTGTTTCATGCAGATCTCCTCCTTTCCCATGTAAGCAAATTAGATCTGTATGCCCCCTCTTCACCCTGCAAACCACAGAATTCCTTCTAACTACACGTCGGTATGTTATCAACTCTATCTGGCAGTTTCCACTACAGAGCATTTAACTATTAAAAAATATTATCTTAACAAAAAAATGGACCCAGGTCATTAAATTCATTTGTTAGCAGCACCCCTTGTCTTCAACTAGTCACTTGTCCAGTTTCACCTAAGAACTTTCTGACTACTGTAAAGCATAACATACAGACCCTGAAATCTTGGAAGTCTTGCTCTTCAGGCATGAGACAAATATTTTATGTGAATTTCCTTGCATATGTCTTCATATTTATTTTCATTTCCTGTATTTTAGTTTTTCAAGTACTCTCAGTAATAATGTTCCCATAGGCTGATCACATTCTTTTAATGGCATTTTTTACGCTTTTCCAGAGTGCAGATGTGTTTTCTGCAGATGTATTTTCAAGCATTAATGCAGTGTCATACTATACACTACAGCAAGTTAGAACTACATATGCCACATTTGTGGCTACAAGGGAAGATGTTTAAAGCAAGGGAAGAAAAATGAGCTTCTCACGCTTCTAAGAAACAAAAAAAATGACAAAGCCATGCATATGTTAGACTTCAGCAGATCTGTCTTGTGAAAAATGTTTTCTGAGAATTTTAAGAATTGGCAGGCTTTTCCAGCCTCCGAAAATAGCTCTTATTTTTTGAAAAGCCATTGTCACTGACCTTAAATAAAAAACAGATTATCAGAGTAGTCTGAATGAAGCAGCCTGTCAGGGAACGAGGTAATAAGCTTGGAACCAGTGTTTTGTTCCTTTTCCTTTATTTTTTTTTTTTTAATCTGCGTTCAGCTTCTCCGGTGTCAGTAACAGAGACATCATAGCATAAATTGTCCAAGTATTACTGGAATGATGCTGATCTGATGCACAAGGTTACAGGAGCTGGCTGGAAACGCTAACTGCTGTGTTATCTACACTAGAACATGCAGTATTACTGATACTAGCAAGTGTATGGGGAAAACATCACGGTATCTCAGAAGTAAAGTGCCTTAGAGGAACTACAGTAAAAACACCTTGTTAAACACTAGAATTTATCTGATCTTCTAAAATTGTATTTTTAGAAAACATAAATTTATTGCCTTCTCCATTGAAATAAAACCACCCCCATAACAGAAAGTTGAGCAGCTTTAATATTTAGTCATAAAAACTTTGCACATTTTCATATTACAAATATATTTTCAGTAAAGCTATGCAATCATATGCATAAATCATGTCCTGAAGAGAAGGTGGCTGCTGTCTCTACTACTGTAAAGTACACCATGTATGCTTTGGAGATTTTTGCAACAACCACATTTGCTATCATTGTGTAAGATTCCCAGAAAAATTGATGTGAAAACCTGTGCTAGATATTCTTTTTTTTTCACATGTCTATTTAGGCTAGTTAGCACACTTAAAAAGAAAACATCACATCTTCTTCGTGGCTCGTCTGATTGATGAAAAACTGGTAGCATCACAAATTCGATCAAGCAAACAGTTCTCATCTCACAGCAAGGCAGGAATCATGCACCAACAGTGACCTGATGAGCACACACACAGATGTAAAGCTTATCCTTGCACTAGGAACATACTTGCTCAAGGTGCAATTTGGACAAACACATCTCATCAGGATACACAGTTTTGTCAGCCCACTTCCGACATTCAGTATCCTTATTTTCAAAGAGATAAAATTAGTAATAAAATGGTATTAAAACTCAACAATGTACCTGGCTACCTAGTACCTGTATGATCAGCACAGGGGGTCTGCAAGCCCCCCTCACTAAACACCTTACCCGTTTTAGAGAAGACGAGCTGCGAGAGATGCTGTGCAAGGGACTGAAGTGCTGAAGCTCCCCCAAGGCAATCCACGTCTGACACTAACAAAATGCTATGAAGACACGTTAAAGCTCTACACTGCACCACACTCAGTCTGAAACAAACAAACAAAAAACGCACTTAGCAGACCTCTTTAAAACAGATGTCAAAACACAAACAAGAATCTTGAATTCAACAAGGCAGTTTACCAAAACGTTTAATCTCATTATTCAAAATCATTTATCAGACCTGCCATTGTCCAGATCTTAAAAGTAACCCAAAGACGGATAATCATTCCAATAGTTCTAAAACAACTGAATATACATGAAAAATACAAAAAGAGACAATGAAACTCCTACTTTTTAATTAATGGTTTCCAAGACGGATTGTGCATACAGATGTCTAGAGCAACACTGTTCGGAAAAGCAGTTTTTTCAAGAATCTGAGGAGGGGAAAAAGAAAGGTTTAGCAATAAAGGCTTTCTCTTTTTGTTTTTTTAGTGTGTTTGGAGGAAAGACTGAAATTTTAGCTTAATGCCAAACAGATACTTCAAACTACATATTTCCTAGCTTTCCAGGTAGCAAGTGTCTCACTTCCTTAAAGCGCCAGAACTGTTCTCAATTACTCAGATGGTGCAATTGTACACTGGGTCTAGCATAGTGTATTTTAAGTATCCAGTTGTACTGAACAAAAGGTGATTTTCTAGGTGTCTTTTATTCTTTTTTATTTACATCTTTCTTCTTACAGATTCTGCTACAGTATTTTCAGATAGCTCCAAGTCCAAAAAGACCTTGTCACATAACATAGACTGTTTGCTATTAAGTACAAAAAGCCTTGAATGTTTTCATCTCGCACCTTGATGTCTTGGGTCAGAATTCTGCAATGGTGCTGAACTAACATAACAACTGATTGAAACGCGAGACTTCATCTTTACAACTCCAAATAAGAATGAGCAGAACAACTCTGAAACGAGAACATCTGAATTCTTGTCAGTGTCAGATGATGTACTTCACACACTATGTAAAAACAGTGGGAAAGAAGAACTTGCACTTTTTCAGTGCTGACTGTTGCTACTCACATGTTACTTCCACTTCACCTAATTAACACATAAACCTAGCAGTGACGCTTCAGCTCAAAGTTTCCTTTCTTTTTGCAGGTAATCTTTTTCATGTCCAAATCAAGGAATAATAACCTTTGTATTTTGGAAAAGCCAAATTTAAAAAAAAAACAAAACAAAACAAAAAAGCAACATGCCCCAAAATCTCTACATTTCTGAAACACATGAACCTTCTATTCCCACTTACATGAAGAAATTATTTAGGTCAAAACAGCTCATGTGATGATGCTCCACCTTTAGGCCAAAAAAAGTGAAGCTAAATTGAATTTTTAAAAATATTCCTTTTCTCCAGTTAGATTGGGATAATACGTTTCCCTAACCCGGAACACAAATCAGGTGCAAGTAAAAGATTGTACCACATGTTGGAAAAAAAAGACAGTACCTTCTTTGGAATGAGGTTGTTCAGAAATGCTGAGTTAACCTCATCAGAGAGGCACAGGGGTGACATCAGCAGCCCACTCCCCTCATCATATGTATTTTCCATAAACAAATCGCTTTCATCACTGCTGGAAAGTTCTTCCCATTCGTCATCAGAGGGATCTGAGAACAGAAGGCAGACTTGTAAAGATGTAACAGTGCTCATACAGTAGGTATCCTACTTCTCAATTATACGTGACTCCACCTCTTGGCTTAGGAGTCATTAAGCTCACAAGCTCAAACCAAGTGCCATTAAGCCACAGTTCTAAATATTATGCTACTTTTCTTTAATTTGTTTTATTTTGAAAAAATATTGATTTTATGTTCATTCAGGCAACAAGTATTCTTATGAAGAGGTTTTTCATACATAGGTACTTCATTCTCTGCTAATAACTATGCTTTACTTAAAGATAGCAAAGAGGGTACAGAACAAACACTTCATAAAGCATTTACTGCGATTTTAACTTCAACTGTACCATTTTACTTTCTGAGGTAGATTGAAGCATGCAAATACAGCAGTTTAACTTAATTTGTTTACTAACTGCAGTCTAAATGCTTAAAGCATTGTTTTCTCTGGCAATCCTGAAGCCACAGACTGATGTCCTCTGACTGGGCAGTAACTGGGCTGGAGGAAGATGTGACTGGGAGCAAGGCCAGCTGAAAGGAAATGACAACAGCAAAACAAGCCAAGGCAAGCAAGATCACCTCTGCCCTTTCAGGCAAAATATTTAAAGTAAATTAAACTACGTTTTTAGTTATAAACCCAAACTAGGTTTATACTTGCGCAGTTTGCTCTACTAGCAGATCTGTAAGGGCAGAGACGGAGAGAGGGGCTGAGGTGCTGTTACCAACAGGCACGGCTACTGTGAAGTGAATAACGTGTCCATGGCTAAAGGCAGACTAGGGCTGACAAGAACAAGCCACGTCCACCATTCATATTTAAACTGATATACCTACTTCCATGGGGTTTACACTGATTATCTAAAGTTCTTTTAAACTTGGTTACATTTTAACTGCTGCGACATTGGTGTTTACGCAAGTCCTAAGTCTGCAGGTTGGACCGATCCTCCTCACCGACAGCTGAAAGCTCTGCTTGCATACGTAGGTCAGGATATTTAACTACTGTGACAAAAAAATACACGCATTCCCAAGTCATTTTGGCTGACAACACAGATTCATGTGAGATCTAGGTGCTGTAATGACTACAGTAACAGCCATGCACTTTTGCTGTGGCAAAGGCTAAAATTCATTCACTTAAGATGCAGCAAGAAAGACCTAAACAACAAATTTCACCTGCACTTTGTGGCGGCTTAAGAATTTATTTGAAGGTGACAACTACCATTTATCTTATGTGAAGTAACTCATCAGGCTGCGGCAACTTGATTATCTGGGCATCTTCTCTGGCTTAGGGTAATATCCAATTAATTCTAGAGCCATACTATGCTGGTGTTAGCAGCCTTTGCATGAGAACATGGTCATTTCTTTATGCTTTACCAACCCCCAGCAGCAATAAGCACGGAAGCAAAGTAGAAATCCCTCTTCAGGTCGGTCTCTTACCTCTTCTAAAAAACAAAAAATCCATCTCCATCTTTACCAAAAAAAACCCCCAAAATCTTTGAAAACTAACTGGTAACTAAATGAGCTGACCATGCAATTCAGCAATAAGAAAGACAACAGCCATTGCATGTTCCCAGTGAGTGACCCGGGCAGAGCAGGAACTGGGCTCTACCACATTCACCCATAACCAAGGTTTCTTGGGAGGCTCTTGGAAATACAGAAGCGTTTCCAATGGCAATCCCATCTTAACTAGCGCTGGTAACCTATGAACTACAGACCGGACAGCAACGCCAGCGTCTCCTGGCTTCCTTCCCGTGTCCCTGTTAAGGGAAGAGCACTCTGCTTCCCCCAAATGCTGGCCTGCATTCAATAAAACACATCTCTTGCCAAGTATGGTTATTTCCCTCATTTCTGTGGCAAGTTGAGTGTTTCTATGAACTCAGCATAACGGCTAAAGCTATTTTAGTCCTCAAATAACTTGAAAATTAAATGAACAGCTGCCTCTGGATTCCTTTTAATTTCTGCAGACTATGTTTCTGTCTGCCCATGAATGGGTACATTACTGTAGTGAAAAAAAAACACAATCAACCTTACATTACACTGAGTGAATGGCAGAATACGCAGCTTATCCACAAGAGATTTTCCAATTAAAGAGGAGAGCTTATGAATTACAGCTCATTAGATGAAAAATGCAGTTATGAAAGGAGCTTCACTTATACTAAGTGCAGAATTTCCTTGCGCTGCAAGAGAAAAAAAAAGATCACCATTGGGAATACCTGAGTATTACTGTGGATTTTATTAGAACCTGAAAGATTTACTCAGAAAGTTATCTCCTACACAATTACTTTTGCATCTCAATTACAAACTGTAGTGGCAATTAAAGTTTTCAGGTTTTGGAGGGCATTTTGGCAGGTCAGTTTTGTTTGGTTGGTTTTTTGTTTCTTTAAACAGAATTTGCAAATTAGTTATTCATTTTCCTAAGAGTATCTGAGTTCATAGAAGACACAGACTACTTCCTATTCCCCCAAATAACAGTTTGTCTCTGCCCTCTAAAAAAAAGCTCATAAAGGCAGAAGAACTCTGAACAGTCTAAATCTGCATTACTGCCAGCATTGCATACAAAAGCTGTCTCTCCTCCTTATTTCGCAAGACTTGAGTATCAAAACTACAAGATTTATCTGCCCTGCAATAAGATTCACATCCATTTTGTCTCAGATGAACACTCAGCACTGCATTCTACCTGAACAAAGAATTTGCTGTAATGCTTTTTAGGCAGTATCTCTGTGGCACAAATGGAGTTTTTTTATTTGTCTTAAATGTCGGTATATGTAGCACCCTCAGTAAGTTTGCCGACGACACCA